AACACAAAACTCCCCAACTTGGGGTTCACCTCAGTACCATAAACTGAAATGCAGGACCCTCCCCCTCAACTTCTCAAAACATTCCCATCTCTTTCTCTCTCTCTCTCCAGTGACCACTCTTATAGTTCTTCCTATGATTACTTGTAAAAGGGGAGGGGGGGGGGGCTGAACTGAAGATATCCCTTTATTTACCAGGTAGTATGTTCCTGCACATCATCATACTCCTTAAAATATTACAAATTTTCTAGTGTTTGTTATTTTAACTATACAGAAAACCATAATAGTTTTATATTATGAAGTTTCCCCATTTTCTAGAATTTTAAGTGTTATTTGAATAGTCACCCAAATACTGCTGCAATAAATAATAGCAGACTAACAGGATGGTACATATTAGGGCCAATGTTCCCTCTAATCTTTTTCTCTCCATGTGCAGATTTTTTCCATCCATGGGAAGAATAATTTTTGTGCGCCAAGTCATGAGGAAATGTGTACTACCAGTATAAACAAAAAACCTAGCTGTGGGCACTCTGCTAATCCGTGGGGCAGCATTTGAATCGCTTGCAAACTGAGTGGCCACATAAGTGTACTGTTTACAGAGAACTCTGTTTAGGACACTGAATAGGTAAGCAAAGTTATTTTGCTGACTCATCCTGAAAGTTGCTTAAACAGTATGTAAACATGCAGGATAGTTATTGCACTGCTTAAGAGTCACAGGTGCCTCTTATTAGAAACAGCCAGAATATGAAAGTGTATAGAAAATAGCTCTGTACAACAGAGTAACAAGGTAGAGGAAATTCCACAGGGACACTGCAAGAACAACAACCGTAAAATCTCGAGTATAATGCGCACCTATGCATAATGCGCACCTACCTTTTAAATGTCAGAATCCCGGAATAAACTGAACTCTTATCTATAGCACGCACCCCGACTTTGCCGTATTTTGTCTTGCCTTTTTGTTTTGCTGGGTAATCACGCGTGAGCACACGAGTATATAGTGCGCGGTGTTCCATGCTCTCTTTGGGATGCCATGAGTTGTCGGCGATCTTACACGACCTCTGAAAAACTGAAAGTTGTTAGCTATGCTGAGGCTCATGGCAACAGAGCTGCCAGCTGTGAATTTGATGACATAGCGGAGTCTAACATTTGGCTTTGGAGATGGCAGAAAGAGAGCCTGCAAGCGCTGCCTAGGATGAAGATGGCTGAGTGAGGTAAAAGCGCTGCATATCCTGAGTTGAAGGCCAAGCGGGTTGAATGGATTGCTGAGCGTAGACAGCACGGCGGTGGTGTTAGCATTGTGGAGGTTGGAAAGAAGACTTTGACCATTGCCAAAACGTGCACTAACACAGCCGGGTTTAAAGCTTCGTATGGCTGGGGGGATCGGTTCATGAATCACCATGGCCTATTGGTCCGATGCTGAACAACAATCGCACAGAAGCTACCCATGGACTCAGACACCAAGTCACTGCAGTTCCAAAAGTTTATCATAAGCTACGGAAGCAGCACTGCTACTACCTTTCATTAATTGGTAATGCAGATCAAACACCATTACATTTTGATAATGCCTGTGACAGAATGCTTGAACTGAAAGGTGCCAAGACCATCTCCATTGCTACCACAGGCCATGAAAAGTCTAGGTTTACCATAATGCTTGCTTGCATGGCCGACGGAACGAAGCTGCCTCCTTATATTGTGTTCAAGAGCAAGACAATGCCAAGGAATGTAATCTTCCCGAACATCGTTCACATGCGTGTTCACCCTAAAGGCTGGATTGATGAAGCTTGATTGGCTACAGACGGTTTGGGCGAAGCAGCTGGGTGGACTTATGAGAAAGCGGTCTCTAATAGTTTTGGATGCATTTCGGTGTCATCGTATGCCATCCGTTAAGAAAAGGCTTCAATAGGACAAAACAGACTTGGCAACTATTCCTAGTGGAATGACCAAAATGTCGCAGCTGCTTGACGTGACACTTAACAAGCCAATGAAAAATGCACTACACAGGAAATGGAACACCTGGTTGTTGGAAGGTGAACATACATTTACTGCAGGTGGACGTATGTGAACACCAACGCTGCAAGATGTTACCCAGTGGGTAGCGGATGTCTGGCTTGAACTTGATCCCGCTATGATAAGGAAGGGGTTTCTGAAATGCAGCATCTCTAATGCTATGAATGGCAGTGAGGATGATGCCCTGTGGATGAATCCGAGTGACGATGAAGTGGCCGAGGGCGAATTACCAGTATGCGAAGATGACAATGATTTGTATTACCTGGATGAAGATGTTGAGGGCTATACCCTGGAAGATATTGCTCGACTGTTTGAGGAAGATTCTAACAAAAGTGAATTCGAGGGCTTCGAAGATGAGTAGTCAATCAATTAACATAGTGGTATTTGCTTGTTTGCGCTGCAGTGTTGATTTCACTTGTTTAACTTACCTTTTTGAAACTGTGTATATAGTTGCTTGTTGGTACTAATAAAAATCAACTTAACCTCTGGTGTCCAGCGATTAATTAACTGCCGCGGAACTGCCAAATGAAAACAAAACAAAACAAAAACCCTCCTAATTATAATGCGCACCCTGACTTTAACGCTAAAAAAAAAAAACAGGTAAAAAGTGCGCATTATACTTGAGATTTTACGGTATGTGTTGGGCACTTGATATGTTTGATGTATATACACAGTATAGCTACGTCTACACTGCAAGGTTTTTGCGTAAAAACCTGTGGCGCATCCACACCTCAAATGAGCATTTGCACAAGTAAATCAGCAGTTAAACGGCAGAACAGAGGACTTTTGCCCATGCAGGTAAACCTCCTTTTACAAGGCATAACTTCCTTTTGCGCTACAGCTATTGCACAAAAAGGCAAGTGTGGACATTGCACAAGAAACCCCTCCGGGAAAAAGCACAGGAATCTGATGGTCGTTCTGTGACTGGCCATCAGAGCTTTCTTGCACAAGAGTGTCCATGCAGTGTGGACGCTCTCTTGCGCAAAAGCACATCGCTTTTGCGATGTGCTTTGCGGTGTGGACGTGTTCTTGTGCAAGACGTTTTTGCACAAAAACTCTTGCGCAAAAGGCTTCTTACGCAAGAAGCATATAGCGTAGACGTAGCCTAAGTGTATTGTTCAGAGCCAAAGCAGAACTTGCTGCTTACATAAACACTTTCCCCACTATATGGAAAAAAAAAACTTTTCTATGAACATAGCTAATAAAAACATTATAAAGCATTAATGAAGGAAATTCTAACAGCTGGAAGATAAAAGAAATTTTATTAGTGCTATACAAATATGTAAAAATGTTATTTTTTAAAAGAGAAGTGTTAGCTTATCTTTGGGATGAAAGTATATATATTTTAAGAAGTGTTTTCTTCAAGTTACCACTATTTCACTGAAAGTGCTTCTGGGGAAATCTAAACTTCCCAGTGGAAAAAGTGCATGGTTAATAAGAAGGTGAATTGTTAACCAGTAAGCCTCACCCTTAATGGTTGAGAGTTATGGTTAACCAGTGGGCCCTGAAGCAGCCCTCAACTGCTGTGGGTCCATCTGGGGCATGCCTCAGGCAAGGGCACTCCAGCCTGGTCAGAGCTGCCTAGCCCATAGCTGGGGGAGTGCGCTTTGGTTGGAATGTCTCCTCTCACCCACCTCTATTTAATCAGTTAAAGATAACATTTAACCTGCTAACTAATTACATGGATTTTTACATCCCTGATGGTTACACCTTCCTCCAGCCCACTGCAAAATAAATGAGCCAACTGAATCCAATGGCAAGAGACTCCATGTTACTAGTGAAGTCCAGCAAAGCAAACAATCAGGCTAAATTAGATATAGCCCATGAGCGAGACAGGACTGCATACTACAGGAGATCTCTAAAGCAAGCAAATGCTTGTGTCCTTAGCCATTCTGACACAGCCACTGTCTTGGAAAATAAATCTAGCTCTTTCTATTATAAAATCATAGAATACCAGAACTGGAAGGGACCTTGAAAGATATTCAAGTCCAATCTGCTGTACTCAGGGCAGGACCAAGTACTATGTAGATCAGGTGTGGGCAATAATTTTTTTTTGGGGGGGGGGGGGGGGGGGCCACCTAATGAATTTTGATACTTGGTCATGGGCCAGCTCCACCCCTGGAAAGGGTGGGACCTGTGGCAGAAGGGGTGGGGCTGGGCACTAGCTTCCCCTCAAGAGTTGTCTAGGGCTGGAGGCTTTGAAGAAAAGACATAGCAAAGGCCTTGTGGCTCCCAGCCCTATCACAGTGCCTGGCAGCTGCCCAGGGTTACTCTAGCTATTTAAAAGGCTCATGGCTCCAGCACCTGCCAGACTGTGAGCCAAGAGTCATTTAAATAGGATCCTGCTGCCTGAACTGGAAATTCGGCGGCAAGGGCAGTAAGACATAACAGAAAGTGGCCAGATTGACCTGGCTTGCAGAGTGTGACCCCTCTTCAGTGTTAGGTGGACCGAATCCAACCCCTAGACCCCTTGCCCAGCCCTAACAGAGGTTTGGAAATTTTTAAGAGCAGCTTAAACATTGATGGAGTTTCCACAGCTATGCTAGGCAATTTATTCCACCGTTTAACTACGGGGACAGAAAGTTTCGTTAGAAACAAGCAGTCCTCGCCTCTCTCCATTTGTCAGAGGCACATGTAAGCTGAGCAGACCAAAACGCCATAGGCAATTGACCTGGCAGGGGAGACGGCTACAGCCTGGGCTTGCCCCTGACTGTGGTTACTACCTCTCCCCAGCCGCATGCCTCCCAAGCCCCACCTATGGCCAAGTAATTCCTTCCCCCAACCTCTGCAATCCTTGAGCTGGGTGCTCCACAGGGACGATCGCATCCCGGCCCAGAAGCTCCAGAGCGAGTGGGTGACGCCGGAACTTCTATGACGAGCACACATGGAAGTGGATGGGCGAGCTTTCAATCTTTGGTAGTAACCGACACATGCCCTCTCCAATAAGCAGCGAGAGTCGTGCCGCGTTGGCCAATGGCAAGGGAGAAGGCGGGATTAGGTGACCAGGCGCCGGGAGCCTTGGTAACGCGCGGGCCGCGTGCTTCCCGGGACTGTGTGACTAGGAGGCAGCCGGAGCTGTGTCTGCTCTTTGCCGCCGGCATGAAGATCGAGGAGGTGAAGAGCACCTCGAAGACGCAGCGCATCGCCGCGCACAGCCACGTGAAGGGGCTGGGGCTGGATGACAGCGGCGCGGGCCAGCCGGCGGGGGGCGGGCTCG